ACCCCAGCTAGCTCCCTCAACACCCTGGGGTGGAGATCATCCGGACCCGCTGACTTGAACGCGTCCAGCCCCTCCAGAAGCTCTCTAACCCGGTCAAACAAATTCTTAGTTCGCTTCCTCTGTTCCCTAGAAGGCTGAAGCTCTAACTCTTGTATCTGTTCTTACAGCACCAGGCCTTTGGAAAACATATGCCCTATATTGTATCTTTTAGTTCCTTACTTGCTCTTTATTTTCGTTTTTCCTCACAGCTACAGTAGGAGCAGTTTTTGGATTGACCACTTGCTTCAGTGCCCAAATCAGAGAGAAACCAGAGGATCCTCTAAACTATTTCATAGGAGGCTGCACTTCAGGAATGATCTTTGGTGCAAGAGGTAAGTTCTGATGAGCATGGTTTTGGAAATACAGCAGGAAGTATTAATAATTGTCTAATTCTTACTTTTATGTGTGTAGGAAAGTTACCTCTTTACCCTGGAAATCTTTATGGATATCATTTTAATATATTAAAAAGCTTATCTGCTCAAGTGCTCTCTGTATACAGGTGCTGTCAATGGTTAGAGCTCATCCTTAATTAAATAGCTGCCTATCGGAGCAAATTCTAAAACTCCCATCATAGTTTCAACTATCACAGACACCCTTGCCTACAAGATTAGGTTCCTTTCGTGTCACCCCAAGAAATGTTCCATTTCGCAATCCATGTCAAGGTCTGAAAAATTAAGCTGGTCTAGACTTATGCCAAAATATTTTGCTAGAGTAATGGATAAGAGAGCCTCAGAGATGAACTATGAACTGAATAGAGAAAGCTCAGAGGTGTCTGCATTGGCCTGGCTGTATACACAGAATGGAGTTTAAATTAAGGTTTTTTTTCCCTGTGATATCTCAGGATATTTTATTCAGGGAAGATGTCCCAAAATGTCACTGTAATCTTACATCAGTAATGTCAAAGTAATTAATTCTGGGATACCCTTAGAAAACCAAGAAAGGTATACTTATCTGAGGGAAAGAAGTCTGCATTTGTTTCTGTGCTAAATGAGTTTGCATCCCAGTTAATGCAAATCACTGGCCTATAATGTTATGGAGCGGAACTGATATGATATAGTATAAAAAGTCATTGTGGGACTCTGGGTTTGCTGTGTGACAAGAAAGGTATTCTTACTTCGCCAGCTCTGAAAATTTTTTGCATGTTTGCAGAGTTAGGATATCTCAAAATACAGGGTTGTAGGGTCAGAATAAGCCTTCAAAGACATCATGCTAGGCCTGTTGTTTTACAGGCTGTTTTTAGGTATGAGCGCTTAAAAATATTGATGCTCACAAAAAAAAGGAATCCAGTTATACCTTTCTTAGGTGGGCAGCATGCCAAGTTTGTGGCATTAAAATGCAATAAACATTACTTTAGTGTGTAAACTGTGTAGTTAGTATTTTGATAGTCATGGGAGACAGATCTGTGAGGGAGAAAGCATCAAGCATCGTACAACTTCATGGGTTGAAAACAACACTTTTTTAAAAAGTAATCCTAGCTTTCTCTTTCCAATCAGCCCTGTATTTTGTTTGCAGTCAAAGTAGAATCAGTGTCAAAAGAAAAATCTGAGTCTTTGAAATGGTCTTACTTTATAGTGCTAAGTTACAGATTAATTTCTTTTTTTCTCCTCCCAGCTCACAGCTTTACTACTGGTACTGGTGCATGTGTTGGGCTAGGACTTCTGGCTGCTTTTACAAAAATAAGCAAGAAAGAGGGCTGGAAGTTTGCACCATCTCCCCGGATATAAGCTTTCAAATGTTCTGTGTAATAATGCATTACACATTAAAGTTGTTGTTGAATCGTTGGTTGTTTTATTGAATTTAGAATGACCAATATCAAGCTCTACAGCTACATCAAATGAAAGTTGGAGGAATGGTAATGTACAGTATTCATTTTCTGGAACTAAATAACCCAGTTTATTTTCTTAGAGTAACATTAGTTCACTGACCACACCTGTAAGTGGTTCCTGCATGTCACTACCACATCAGCAGTTACTAGTTCTATTATGACCTTGGTACTTCATCTTGCTGAGACCCACTGTGCTGAAATAAATAAAAAGCAACTGTCTCACATGACAAAAGATACTCAAAGAAGTGGGGAAATAATGAGTCACTGGAATTCTGTAGTCACCATAAAAGGATAAAGGTGTAAAAAGACAGTGAAAATCAACAGTTACCTTAAGGATTGATGTGCTAGGAGGAAGGTTGTGAAAAACACTCGCGTAGGTTTTCAGACAGTGTGCAGGACCTCCATCTAACCCAGGAGGTGCA